CATGGATCCATAGTGGGCGAGAGGAAGCTTGGCGCTGGCGGGATCGATCGATATCGTCAATGCCTTCAACACCCTCCCTTGGGGCGGACGCTAGCCTACCATAGCATGCCTGCTTATCTCATCGCCATAATTAAGGATTACTTCCGGCACAGAAAGATTGATATGTCGGTGCTCGGTCTCGTGTTCTGAGACATCGCTTACGACGTAGTACTCCGCCAAGTCCTCCCGCTGAGGTATCATGCTGTTTGTTATGCTGATGACATCTTGTCATCGCGGGAGGACTGATGGGAAGCGACCATCACAGCTAACATCGCTGTGGCAATCGTGATCGGTTCCGTGAGAGAGCTCGGGCTGGAGGTGACGCCACATAAGACAGAGGAGCAATGCCCAAACGCGCGTCTCTTGCTGCGGCAATCGGAGGAGATCTCTCGCCGCCAGCGTTGGTTACGGCCATGCTGCGCAGCGAGGAGAGTGGAAAGTGGTCTCCTCTTTCTGCGAAGCAATTATGCTCTGGAAGGAGGAGGCAAAGAGGGAGAGAGAGCGGAAGAAGGCCCATGGAAGAAGAGGTCGATGCGCGGTCGCGGTGACGTCCGCGCTGCGGCCTCTACACGTCGCGCCTGGTCGCTCCCACCCCGATCGCACTTCAAGCGGCTATCCCGCTGCCACCAACGCCGTGTTACCACTTGCGGCCGAGGCGTGACGGCTGCCGCGGATCAGGGGAGGGCAAAAACAGAGCTCTCTCTGGCAGATCCACCGCCTCTGGTGAGAAGCATACAGGATTGGGCCCAATTCCGCTCTGTTAAGAAAGTAAGCCTGGGAGTCATGCCTGACACCCGCCGAATGAGGGGGGTCGGCGCCAGGTGGAAACTTGGTGTTGGCTCTGCCCTCCCTCCCTCTCACAACACCGAGAGGAAGCGAGACGAAGGATCTGGTGTCCCCTCCTTGCTTATGGAAAAGTCAATGCCATTTTCAGGACATCGATGATCTGTAAAAATAAAAACCACCGGGGAAGGGCCGACTAGTTAGGTCGACAGGCCTGGAGGCGTCCTGGAAGAATACTGCACGTGTGCCCAGGATGCTCCCATAAATAGGCCAATGGAGAACACCGGCGAGGGTTTTAGTGAGTGCAAGTCTTACATAAGTCCGTTCCCGCGGACTGAGAGTATGCGTAGTCATTTTCCCCTCCTTACAAAAAAAAGTTAGATTATATGGTACATTAGGTTAGAGTTAAGTTATTATATACCTATTTGCATCACGTAGTCAATCGCGCGTAGTCGTTTGCAACTTGTGGTCAACCGCAATATGGTCATTTGTATCGTGTGGTCAAATGCAACGTGGTTATTTGCGACACGTGGTCAATTGTAACGTGACTAATTGCAATGTGGTCAATCACAATGTGGTCAATTGGGCGCCACTCGAATGTATATACACACATATATACGTACATGTGATTCTGATTTGCGAGACTATATTTCCTTATGTTCCATGATGCGAAAAAATACAGAAGCGTAATCTACAGGCGATATAAGTGAGCCAATAATGTAACTGTTCCCACAGATACAACAGAGTGATCTATGGAAAAGATCTCTTGTGATTGAAACACGTCAATTATGTTTCCACAGGTTTCGCTTCATGGAAATGAATATAAGAAAAGAACATGTCGGCGCAGCGCAATTGGCGAAATTCTTGTGATTGGACGGACATCGTTCTGCTAATTCTGCATTGCGCATACATTTCGCAGCATGGGATCGCGCCATAATTAGATAAAAAAATCATCGCAGCAGACAATCAGAAGTCATTTGGAAATTTAAAATCTGTACATTTGAAATCGGTATTTCAATTTGACTAATATTTTACGGAGTTATACATACACAAATAAATATCCGTGAAATCTAAAAATTTTGTAAAAAAAACTTTAACAAAGTTTATAGCGTAAAAATTACAAAAAATACGGTTTACAGCAGTTGAAAGAGTGAATCTTTACCTTTAATTTATTTTTTTATTAAACATTGTATGATTTTTTCCACCGAATTATTGAACATTGAAGAAAAAAAATCACTGATCACTTTTGTTTCAATGTTGAGTAACTCAGTTAAAAAAATTGTGCAATGATCGATAAAAAAGGAATTAAAGGTAAAATTTCTTTCTTTCGACTATTGTAAATCGCATTTTTGGGTGATTTTTACTTTATATCACAAACTATTGCAAAATTTGTACAAATCTGTATAGGATCAATCAAAAGGCAAAATAAGCAGGATTTGATCTTGGAATCTCCAACTCCAGTTCTGATCTCGTATCTTATGAACTCGACTACACGAACTTCTTGCTATGAACCTATGATGAAGGTATATAACGCGCATGAAAAATCATAAAGAAAATTTAAAATGTTTGAAGATAGCTCAAAAATACAAATCATAAATAATAGAGAGCATGCAGCCACAACGATAGATGTTTAAACAAAAGTAATATTTAAAATCATATTTAAAATTATCATATAAAAACGTAGACGTTTCGGTCAAGATTTGACCATCATCAGTACATCAAGATGACAAATAAAAGAATACAAAAAATTAATTAAATAAGCAATAATTGCTAGTCAAAAAGATGGTAAAACAATTTTCCAATCGCTTATGGTACGAGTTAACGGAGTAAATTGAAATTCAGAAAATAAAATTAACCAATATTTAAACACTTCTGACGAATTATCTGTTACGTTTATGATTCCTTTTTAAAGGAAGCAAAGAGTGATTTCCTGTGAAAATACGGAATTTCCAGATTTTATTTCAAATTAAAAGAAAAGAATACGTTTTTAATAATTTAACTTTTACAATACAATAATTATTCATGAAAATCAGTCTAAATTTATATTAACAATCGCTTATCATGTATATTTTGATAAATCCTCGCAAATGTATTGAGAATAAATAATACAACTTAAAAGATAGAACCATTGAAATCATTGGTAAAAATTATTGCTGAGAAAAATGTGAAGAACCATAACTAGCGATAGTCTTTATATATTGTGAAAGGAAAGGAGAAGAAATGAAAGTGGAGAGGGTAATTCTATATGTGGATAGAAGGGCTTTTTTCAATGATTGATAGGTAGATTTCAGGAAAGCGTTCTATATCACTCTGTTTGTTTAAACTCTTTTCTTGTCATTTGATATGTATCATCTCGGAAACCATTCATTTATAATAAGATTGTTCGGAGTCAAGAATGCAAGTATTATTCCAATCAATTGTATGATGATGATCAAGTTTATGACGAGAAATAACAGAGAAAGAATTAATAGGTTTTTTGAAATCGTTTAAGTGTTCTTTTTAAACGTTCTTTAGTTTCCTTTTTGTCTGTCTTATATAAGAATAATTATAATTGTGACAGTTAATTTTATAAACGACATTTGAGTGATCTCCTTTTTTAATTTTATCTTTGCCTGTTTTAATGAAAGTATTCATATCATTCATTGGTTAAGCTAAATTGAAGTCGAATTTTTTTGTAATAGATTTAAATTTCTCAGAAATTTTATTGAAATAGGGAATAGTGAAATACTTTTTAGCGATCCTGGAGGAATCCGAGTTGGCAATATCTTTGTGTTCCTTGATATTTTTGAAATTATTTTTGAAAGACAACGTCTTGATCCTGTTGTTAATAGTTGTGAATAAAAGTATCCATAAAGAAATGCATAAAATTTATAAAATCCAATGCAAAATTAAGAGTAAAAATTCATTTTTTAAAAACTTGTTCACATGATTAAACTTATCCCTATACATCTGAACAAAATTTTGCATTATGAAATTAATACACACAACATTGTTATTCTATACAGTAGATAAATAGACTCAAACACAATTCTATCCAAAAATGATGACGTATAGAATTGAATAACGCGTGTAGAGAATTATCACATTTACAACACAAACTTTTTACAAATTATAGAACTATTAATTCGTCTCTTCCGTTTGATATGTGTGAATAAAAGTTAGAGAATGATCGAATTATAATTTAAAATTTTGTATGCAAATGTCTTGATAACCATTGGATATCGTGTTGAAGAAGGATTGATTTCAATGTAATTCGTTTTGACACGCGCATACACGCATGCACGCATGCATATGGACCTCTACATCACATCGTGCATGTTTATTCACGATATCATTAATTTTTTCAATGTTTTTTTTCATTCCAGTCGCCATTTTGGGTCCGCCATTTTGAATTTTTGAAAACGCTATACAGCATCAAAAAACAGATTTCAAGGAAAATTGTAAGCCCTTTTAAAGCATTTTATTTCAAAAATTGAAATGGGGTGGCCGATTTAATAGAGAACGCCTCATGTATATATATATATATATATGTA